ACAGCTGCGTGCGGTGAGGAGATAAGACCAACTTGTCCACCAGGCAGGTGCACTCTAAAAAAAAAAAAAATAAATAAAAACAAATGCAGAAACGCATGCATGCAGCTGAATGCATGCACATAAAATACAGCAAATACAAAACAAAAACACTTAGGAGAAACGAAATAAAAAACACAAAAAAAAGAACAGAAAAAAAAAGAAAAAAAAATATATTCATCATCAGATGAGATACACAGACTGCAGCATAAACTCTTACCCGCCACAATTTGAATTATTTCAGCAGAAGTGCAGCCGAGGGAAAGCATCAAGTGTACAGCTTTCTCCAGCAGTCTGTAGGTGGTTATAGGGGGTAGATGCTGTTGGTATTCTTCTCTTTCTCTTTGCTTTCCTTTGCTCTTACTGCAGCAGTTGAGAGTCAGAAGCAGCCAACAAAGACTGGCGACTCATCAGACACCGGGAATGCATCAACAGCTGAAAGCTTCTGCAGCAGAAGGGCCGCAGAGCCAGGCGCTCGAGCAGATCGCCGCTGCGGGTGTACCTGGGGGTGGAAACAGAACCATTACGGCAATAAATGAATAAAATAAACTAAAAAAACCCCAAAAATATAATATTAAAACTCTCACTCCATCAGATTCCTAGGAGGCGTTGTGTATCCAGCAGCTGCAGGCCGGTGCAGACGTTCCATGGTGATTCAACTTATAATACAAGTTTGGCGTTTGGGGGGTAAAAACAGGTTTTTAAGGCACTTTAAAGGGGGGATTCACGAAAAGAAAAAGAATTAACATAAATACTTTCTTCTTTCCGCAAAATTTCCCTCGCCATAAACCCTTTTTCATCAGCTTTCCGTCGCCCGCTCACAACGGATCGCTCGAAACGGGGTGTACAGACACCGCAGGAGAAACCTGAAACTTGAAACCCAAAGAAACCTAAGAAAAAAAGCGGCTAAGAATGCTGCTTATCTGGCTTAAACTAATAAAAAAATAAAACCATGAGCTCTTAAAATATTATATTTTCTTTCTTTTGTTCAGTACAGTGCAGAGTTGAAGCTGCTGAGATTTGTATGCGCTCCCGTTCAAGAACGCGGCGACGGGGAATAAGCCACAGATAAATACTAATAAAATTCGGCCCCCAAGAGTGAAACAAATGAATAAAGATTTCTGAATATCAGAAACATGAAGTGTCGTAGAAAATGAAGACCAGAAACGCGTGCAACCATACACCGTTACATATATGAATCATAGATTTGCCTCTCTATATCTCTCTCTATCACTCCGTCTAATGTCACTAAATTAATAGAATTATATAAATAATAACATAGAAAGAATAAATTAAAGAATTAGTTTCGAGTTTCACTGCCTGTACACCTGAACGGCAAACAGGAAAACGAGCAGATGACCAGCGGTAGCAACCGAGAAAGAACAAATAGAGCGTCAAATATTCCCTTTTAAGAAATATTAAGAAATTTCAGATGAAAAAATATAAATAATTTTAAAATGAATGCACAAAACACACAAAAATATGCGTGAAACCCTCGAAACCTACAACAGGAAAAACATGAATCGACCCGGCGGCACTGCCGGTGTCCATTGGCGGGCAGATGAAGGAGCAGACAGAAAAAGAGGCATTCGGGGGAAAAAAAAAAANAAAAAAAAAAAGTAAAAATTAAAAATTAAAAATAATAAATTAATTAAACAATTTGAAGGATATTTATCAGTTTATATTCAACTTAACGCAAAACACAAATCCAGCTGCAGCGGCAGAGAGAAGGGGCCCTCCAAGGGCTGCTCTGGGGGGCCCCCTAGGGGGGCCCCCCTGATATATCAGTTGGAAATATAGGGCTTGTTTGTTCGTGATTTGTTTGCTTTTTATTTTATTTGAATTTTATTTTCTTTTGAGATTTGTTTTCTACTTCCTGTGGATGATGTAGTGTAGTACAGAG